TGAAATCTCTTGTAACTACTTCCCTGCAGTTGAAATTCTCTGCATCTAAATCCCTTTGCATGCCTGAGAGCAGAGAGAACCTTTAGTTCAGATGTAGTATTGCTTAAAAAGGAAAAATGTGAGAAATGAGAGGTGGGAGGACAGTCACACAGTGTCACCATGTGTGTTTGTTAAAGCAGCTGGTTTCCAGCCATCTTGTGAGTAGTCATGAGAGGACGGTTAGGGCAAATGCAAATTGTGAAAGGAATAAAGGAATCAGAGGAGAGGAGAGAACAAATAGGATATAAAAGATAGTTAGAAGCAAAGATGCATGAAAGGACAATTAAGAAAGGAAACGCAACAAGATTGATCGTATATATAGAGAGGAAAATTGAGGTCTGAAACTCTCAAAATAGGATTTCTGTTTCTAATGTAACTTTGCTCTGTGACCTTCCAAATGCCTGGCTCCACAAGTGTGCCATCTGAGGAACCAGATTACTACTTCTGTTTGAACCAAGGTGTGGCAAGATAACGGGAGGGAAAAAAATAGATGATTTTTAGTGAGGGAAATAACAGACTAAGCGAGTTCCATTTGCAAGTATTGCTTCAGTGTCTGTATAGAATTTGATTTTTTTTTTTTTTTTTTTTTGTCAGCGGGGAAAGATTTGGGCGAAAAAATAATGTGATAGAAACTAGGCAAAACAGTTTCAGCTTTTGGGCTCATTTGGGATATCAGTGTACTTTTACTGAGTGTTATATCTGCGGGATGTCTTCATATAAACTGAAAAACACTTTGCTTTCTAAATGTGTGATGTCTGAACAAGTGAAAGTGTTTAACCAGTACAAAAGTATGGTGAATATGCTGAAATGTCTCTGCAGAGAAGTTTTAGAAGTGTATCTTGAGACGAGCTCCATGGGGGGAGGGGGGTGAGACTCCCAGATACTTACCTCACTGCCTCTCATTAGCAACCATTGTATGAGATATCCCTGTGTTTGAAACGATTTGTTTTAAGAAGATTGGTATGCTAGCTTTGTACAAAAAGTTGAGTATACTTCTCTGTTCTGTGCTGAATTTGGAAAATTTACATGGAGGTTTAATCCTTCCCAGTTTATTGCTGTGTTATTGGTAAGATGCATTGAGTGCTTATTAAAGTGATCAAATCTAGCTATTTCTTGTTTCTTGTTTCTGTCAATACTGAAGTCAAAAGGTAACTTTCACACCTTCCTAGGGCAAATGCTGTGCAGACTGTAAAAGTACTTTAAAAAAAAAAAAGCATTTTTTTCTTTTTTAATAAAGTAACAGCTGAAGTCAATCTCTTGAAAGCTGAGGAGGGAGTATTTGGTCCCACATGTATCAGTTGCATATTAGCTGCTCTGCTGCTGGGTGCAAAATGTATGTGCTCATGGGAAGGTACTTTTGTTTGGCTTTTATTTAAGTTGATCTCGTATTTTTTAGTAATTTTAACAGGTTGGCTAAGGGCACAAGCTTGCTGTTTCTTATATCTATTTCCATGTTCATGCCATCCAATATATACTGGTGAGTGTGGTCAAAAATGCGCCAGAAGTTTACCTTCAGAGCTATCTTTTGATGCATTTTGCTTATCTTTAAGATACAGGGTCCCGAATGCTCTACTATAGTAGTTGCTGACTTTTTTCTTCTAGACAAATCTCAGTGGAAAAAATGACACTATTCTGTATATTTATACTAAAGTCATTTTTCCATTAAAGGGAAGAGTCCTAGAAGAGCAACATTTAGACCATTTCAAATGAAAACATTCAGAGAGGAAATCAATCTATTCTAAAAGTGAACGAAAATGAACCATGTTTGTCATCTTGGAGAGAGAGTGTGAGGTCAGCTCCTGCTTTTTTTTTTTTTTTGGAACCAACTCTGGGAAATGAAAAAGTGGTTAGCATGACATAAATGAGGGTGTGGCAGCAAGGTCATCACTGGAAATGAAAGGAAATCTTAGTGGATAGTCTAGAGCGGAGTATTTGGAGTGATGGAGATACATGAGAGCCAGCTGTGGAAAATGCCAGAGTGGGGATGGTTGATTGGGCTTGGTGTGGAGGAAGAACTAAGGTAGAGAAACTGAGTGACTGGGTAGTGTGAGCAGCGTGCCTGTTGCCACTGTAACGTAAAAATAAATGAGAAGGGGCTATATTTCAAAGGAACAAGCGATGTAGGAAAATCTGCTACTTTTAATATGACACTTCTTTGTGCTCAGCAATGACACTCTCCAGAAACTCATGGTGATGCAACTGGGGATGATGTTATTTTAAAATAAACCAAACAACCCACTAAACAAAAACCTTGTGAAAATTTGTATTTAGGATACTTATAAATGATATACAATTCGGTAGCTATCAGTGATCGTTTTAAAGCGAACCTAAGAATTCAGATGATTTTCTTTTTCTCAACTGGCCACTGCCATAATGCTGGTAGACATGCTGTGTTTTATCTGCATGCATAAAAATCATGGAAGTTCTGAGCACGTTTTCTTCTTCACGATGTATTTCTGATGGTAACTGAATGATGTTCAGCATTTGAAAGCTTTTCTTCCCTGTTTTTCTTTTCCATTTTTAATGACTTTTTTTTTAATGCTAACAGACCAATTTATAACAACGAAAACACAAAACAGAAAAGCAGTAATAAGCAAAGAACCCCAAAACAAAAACCTCAAAGTGTGGTTTCCTTGGGGAAGTTAAGTCTAAACAAGTATACAGTAATAAATAATAGAAGAAGTATGAAATGATTTATTAGACAAGCCTTAAGAAAGCTTCTCAACTCTTACAACAGTCTGTGGGATTGTAATGTGCTCGACTTCAATTACATCCCAAGGGCTTTCCTGATTTGCATTTTACGTGCAGGGAGAACTTGAGGCTTGCATCCTTTGGGCACGCCAGGTATCATAGCAATTTGTGTAAAACTGAAGCACTCCTACAGCATCAAAGTGTTTTTAGAACAAAGCACTTGCTTACTGCTTTTGTACTGCTTGAAACTTTTTAGTTTTGGCTCTTTTCCAACGTGGAAGGAGTTTGTTTGCGGAGAGATGTTGTTGCCAAGGGACGAGTGTTGACTGCGTTGTTTAAAACAGCAAAATCACGGGCTGATATGAATTACATTCTTTTAGCAGTTCTTCTCTGGATCGCTTTAAAAGGTCCTTCCAGTTTCCAGAGTACTTAGGTCAGCTCGTAGAACATGAACACAGTGTCTCATCATTTACGTGAAGAACGTATTAAAGAACTGGCAGTAGCTGTATGTGGGGCTTTGTTGTCTGCACTAGAGAAATGTTGCCTTCAGATGGTTATGCTAAATAATAACATGCAGTTTTAGTGAATGCAGTGATTTCCCTTCCTTTCACCTTTTATCTTTAGAATCTTTATCTCAGCCATTTGTCTTACGAGCTGTGTGGAGAGCTGTTAAACAGGTTCATTTTATTTTGTGATGGGAGCAGCATTATCTGGACCTAGTTAATCTTAGTTTCTTTTCCAGTTTCCCTGTTGGTAATATGAACCTAACGCATTGCAGTTATCAGCTGGGTTTTGGCTTTTCCAGGGATGGAGGATGAGCTGCTGAAGTTGCTTGCCCCAAAGAAGGGCTTTGTGGAAGGCTGCTGGAGTGAGGAAGTGCTGTGCCCTGGTGCTGGAACTGCTCTGTGCTCCAGAGCACTTGTGCTGCTTTGTTGTTAACCAACTTACAGCAGTGGAAGAATGAGACAAAAGCATATATTATAAATGCAGTTTATAGTTCAGCTTTAGTGTAGTTTTGCAGACAGTCTAATGCTTTTTAAGTGTCTTTCAGTAAATTAGTGTCTTTCAGTTCATTAGAATATGGCTTGAATGAATTTTGTCTGTTCTTACTTAGGAGTGAGCAGTTGTGTAGCATTTCCGTACTGCTCTGGAAGGATGAATGGCTGTGCACTTCACTGACTATTTGCCACATGTTTATTTTTCTTTGTATTTCCAAGTATTTTTGCTTAATGTTCCTTAGTACTTGGTATTTTAAGAAATACTGGGTCAAGAGATAATAACTTACATAACAACTGAACGCTGCTTGGCTTACCCCTGGCAGCCAAACCTGCTGCCCTGCCCTGTCTGTGCAGGAGCCCTGCAGGAGAGTAGGGCAAACTGAGCCAAAGCAGGTGATTTTTTTTTTTTCCTGTCAGCACTCTCCTGAGCCTTTCATCTCCCGTTCCAGATTTGTTTTGGGACCTTCTCATGCTTCCTTTCTTGGTTCAGTGTGTCCTGTGTGTTTCTGTGAGAGGAGCTCCAGCAAGGTTTTTAGGAACTTCAGCTCCACTCTCTGCTTGCTGGTGGCTGTGGCTGCTGACTGGGGGTTCCTCTAAGGTGCTGTGTGGCTGTGGCCTGATAGCATCTGCATGTCAGTCCAACATCTCTGATACCTTCCTTGCAACTCACAGGCCCGCTAGACATGCATGAAGGCTAGCTGTAGTGGTCAAATTTTTGTTTTAACAAAATGTTAAATACTGCTTGCCAGCTACAATTTCTGTCTCATGCAGAGACACGTGCTTGTTTTAATTTGTTTTTTCTCAGCTCAGAATAGGGCAGAAAACTTTCTATTTATCTGAATCCGGACCTAACTTTTGTGTTGCCTTTCAGCTCTCTTGCCATTCATGATCCCTTTCCACATTAGGCTCTGTTTTCCTGAGTTTGCTTTAATCCTGACACTTGTTTGTAAACTTCTAATGGAGATGGGCATTGACTTAGCTTTTTGATGAGTTCTCCAGATCTGGTTATTTTAGAACAGATGTTACTCATCTCAGTTTTCTTTCAACAGATGATCTTTATATTCAGCAGTTCATGCTGACTCAGAAAAAAATAATATGCATTTACAGTTGTTCAAGTTATATGAATCAATAAATTGTGATTTCATTTACTGATTGGTAGGGAACATAACTGTCTACATAAATCTGTAGCTGAAATTAACCAGATATTTCATGTAATTTTAGTTTATTTCACTAGCACTCTGTTTAAATACTTCTTTATTTTTATTTCATTAGTTGGCAGAAATTTCTGAATATTCATCTGACAATGACTATGTGGAAGAAGCGGACACACAGCCCACTGATCCAGGATTCATTAAGAAATTGCAGTTGAGTGTGGGAGAAGCTGCAGCAAGACCTGCCAGCGATTGGCTCAAGTCTGCACAGGCCCTTCTACAAACACCTAAGAAACAGTCAGGCAAGGCCTCAAGAACCCCGGAAGATTCTGCTAAAAAAAGGAAATTACTGAGGTAAAGATACTGTTCTTCTTAAGTGCTTTTTAAATTGTAAATAAAATAATGCTAAAAGAATTAACTAAAAGAAGAGTAGGAATGCGTTTCAAGGGCAAACACATGAAAGATTTTTGACAAATTGCAAAACTAGAGTCAACCTTTCAATCCTGAACCCCAGTATACAATTTGATACAATATTTGTTATCACAGAAATGCCTTAAATTAGCTTGCAAATATGAGCATGCATACTTTTTTTTTTAGCTTGCGATCATTTCATTGTCATGTGCCTCTTCAGATAGTCTGCAAAAGATGCAAAAGAATCAAAATTTTTTTGTTCCTTTCCGGATTTGTCAGGCTAAAATTATCCAAAATGGCATATGAAAGGTGTGCTGAATAATGCAGGATGGAGTGATATTTGAGCAAAAGTGGGATGTGTTTGTTTGTCTGAAATATAAATCTTTGTGACTAAATTAAGTGTATTGAAAAGGTGCTGAACAAAACCCACCTAAGCTTGAGATGCGGAGCTCTGATGTACATGATCCAGTACATCCCTAGCTAATTGCAATGCAAAAATAGTTGGTTCTTATTTTGAATTCACAGAAGTTGTTTCATGTGGTATTTGTGTGAGCATGGCTTAAATTATGAGAAGGAAAATGATGAGCAATGCTGCTGTAGATAGCAATTGCATCCTTAGCAATATGGTTCTTTCTACTGATTTTATACAGTAATCGATCAGAAAATAAGGCACTTAGAGAATCCTTGCTTCCGTTAAATAACCATATTTTATTTATCTTTCAAAATTTTCTTCACTACTTAGAAATGCCAACCAAGGGAACAGATTTGAAGCTGTAACAATTTGAGGATTTCTGTACTTGCAGTGCTTTGCTTGTGCAATCAAGCTTTACTTCTTACTACTTTAAAAGCATGAAGACAGAACTCTAATAGGTCAGACCAAAGCTGTACCAAAAATGCTAATGGTGGCTAACAGCAAGTCTATGTGAAGGTAGTAAGAACAGGGCAAATGGCATGGTGCTATTTTACTCAGATGTACTTTGAGCTTTTGGCAGTTTACTGCTCAGGATCTGTGTGAGTGTTTTGTTATCCTCCGTGGATTTGTCCTGTAGTTTTCTGACGCCATAAAAAGCTTTGAGTGTTGCAATAAAACCCCACAGTTAGTGGCTGCATAGCTTAAACATGGCTTCAGCCTGCACCTGTCAGTTTAATTTGATGATTCTGATGATCACATATCACTTAGTGCAAAAATGTATTTTTATAGCACAAGTAGTCTGAAATGGATGTCCAGCAGAATAAGCATTTATTCATTTGTAAGTTTTCAATACAGAATGCAATTTGGCCAGAATGAATAAAGGAACAAAATTTGCAGGGTGGATTTTTTGTTTTTGTTGTATGCTGCCACTGAGTGGAAGGCTTAGGTTTTCAGTGCTGTGGATTGAAGTCCAGATTGGAGAGGGTTGATCAGCTGCATGATCAATTAAGTGATAATCTTTTCTTTCTGGTTATATAGTTAAAAGCTATACTGCATTTTTTTGGCTTGTTCTTTCTCCTTCCTTCCTGCCTCTGCTGCAGATTGAGATCACAGCAGAAAAGCAGTAAGCAAGAGAATTCTTGCAGACAGGATCTCTTCCATGAGTTCCCACTTGGACCATTTGAAATTCTGCAGCGGGTGGAAAAGAGCTTAACCAAGCTCTCTTTTTCCAGACTGCTGCTTAGTGAAGTGTGGGTTAAGAGGAGATAGCAGAGGTGATACAGTCTTGGTCTTCCTATGCAAATTCATAGAATGGTTTGAGTTGGAAGGGACCTTTAAAGGTCATCTGTTCCAACTTCCCTGCAATGAACAGAGACACCTACAGCTACATCAGGTTGCTCGGAGCCCCATCCAGCCTGACCTTGGATGGCTCCAGGGATGGGGCATCCACTGTCTCTTTGGACAACCTGTTCCTGTGCTCTGTGTGAGAGATTCTAATCCAAAACCAGACTGTTTTATTATATGTACTTGATGGAAAAGTGCTGATATGAATAAGCCACCTATGTTATTATTTCCATTTTTTACAAAATAAAAAATAATTATATGTTTTTTACTGATTGTGATCACTGAGCTTGTGATGACCTTCAAAAATTAGAGCATATTTAAAAAAAAAAAAACTTAGCTTATTTTTTGTGAAAAATTACATACCGAGTGGAATAATCTCTTGTGATGTTCTTTATGCATTCTGCTGTCTGCTTTTATGTTATCTATATTATTTAATTGCAGCTGTGTTCCAGTTACCTCATTTTTCTAGTCAACCTCTCTGGCTGGAACACTCTTGTTACTGAATGAAAGAGTATTGTTTGTTTCATCCTATTAAGGATACAATTGTGATTCTCCACAAAAATTGAAGTTTAGTATACATAACAAATCTTCAGAAATGAGCTGATTATGGATAATTAAAATCTAATAATGCTAGTGTTAGAAATTTGAGTGTAAGGTCAACACCTTAGAGTGGAAAGAAAATGAGAAGTCCACCTGTCTCCTCCAAAGGAATGTGGGACGTATACAGTGCTGGGATGTGATGAGTGAAATCTGAAGGGGTACGATGCAATTGTTCTCACTTAATAGCTCTGTGGGGTTTTGGGATGCAATTAGAATCTTCAGAAAAGAAAGAAATCACGTAAGCAGTTTTTCCCTCACTTAATTGATCTATTCTGTACTCTTTTTGCCAAATAAAAGCATCTCTTCATATATCCCCTGTATTGCTAGTTCTTGTTTTCAGGATTGTTTAGGTGGAGATTGTTGTTCTTTCTACAGTGAACTGCAGCATATAAATGGTAGTCAGTATTGCCTTGTTTTTCAGACGTGTTGGAGGCCTGAGTCAGGTTCTTGAGTTCCCTGCAGGGCAGTGCTGTAGGAGGTGCCAGTCAGATCTGCTATGCTGGTAGCAAAATGAAATCTTTCATTTACCACTGTAAAACTGTAAACCCGGGTCATCCTCACCTTAAATGCTGGCTTTATGTGCCATCTTTGGTAGCCACATTCATTTAATTTAAATAAAAATGGGATCAGAGTGAGTGGGAGAAATATCATTTTCCAAGATGTTCTGAGATATAAATGCCACTGTACTGCACTGATAAGCTATTAAGATAGCTGATAAGGAAGTACTAGTAGTGGCATTTGATACAGAGATGAGTTGGCTTGGTGATTAGGTCAAGAAATATTGGTTTTAGATGTTCTTGCCCTTTTATTCTACCACAAAGTTTTGATTTCTCAGCAACGTATAGACTACCTTTGCTTCTGTATAAGCTGCCTGCTGGCAGCAATGAGTATTATGATAGAATGGCACCCAATAAAAATCCCCTGCAAGTGATTTGCAAAGCTAAGGGAGAAGGGAGTAGGTCCTGCAAATACTAGTTTTCAGGAAGCTCTTTTCAGATTATGAATTCGTGTTACAAGGCAAAATGTATAAACTGTGCTAATTCCAAGTCACTCAAGTATCCCTCGTTAACAAAGGGAGAAATGAAGAGTTTGTTGGAACTCTCAACATTTGTTACACAGGATAAACTGGTCACTGCATTTATTCAGTATCTGTATACAAGAAAACTCAAAATGCATTCATTCAGTGTTTCCTTTCTACAGGAAGACCTCCAGGAGGTTTTATGAATTGTTTATTTTTTCAAACAGAATTTTATTTCTGTCAGCCAAAGCAGTCTGGCTTTCAATGCAGGAAATGGATATCTTACATTATATAATGTCAACTCTACTTCAAAATCTGTTGTGTTGCAACTGCTTTTAGTTGTATAGAAGTAACTGCTTTAGGTTTGGATCAAAGGTAGATGGTTGTTCCCAATGGCATTGATTTTCTTGTTAGTTTTGTTTGCAAATTTTAGCTTAATAGTGAAACAAAAATCTTAGGAAAATACCATTTAATTCTCTCACATGAATCAGTAGATCACCAACAGGTTTGATCTGCTATATTTAACTTCTCCTTTTTAGAAAAGGAGACAATTACAGAATATCCTGGTTCTACATGCAATAAAATGGTCACATGAAGCCAACTGAGATCCTGAAAGTAAAGTGCCAAGAGAGGAAAGAGTTGGCACAAATGGAGCAAGCCTTAAAATTGGATCTGTTTTTCTCAGATGCATCCATAAATAACACGAGAGTATAACAACCACAAACTAGCTCTTTTAAGCCTAGTGATCTTAGGCTGAAGTCCTTACAGTTGAATGAAATTGTATTTGTTAGTGAATTTCTTCTTAGATTAGGAGAATATAACTGAAGAATATCATGGCTGCACTACAGAAGTGCCATTATTAATCACTGAAAATACACATGGGCAGTCTATTAGGCACTTACTGAAAGCTAAAATGTCTTTTCTTACTAACAAACAAACAAAAAAACCCAACAAACCGATGGTTTAAATGGGCCAGAAGACTGTTGTTAAAAGGAGATAAGTCTTTAAATAAATAAATGAATAAATAAATTTTTCCTTAGTGTGACAAATTTTCCAAATTTCATATAGAGTACATCTTCCTGTTTGAAATGGTTGAAGAGAGATGTAGTTATTCTCTATTGAACAGGAGTCACTTTGATGGGTTTGATTTGTTTAATGTTAAAGTTTGCTCATTTTGTGTAAGAGCTCAGGGAACCAAAACCTTCAGAACTGTGAAGAAAGCTGTTCCCTTATCTAGTGTGGCAAGGCTGTTCCTATCAAAACTGGTTCCTGCACTGTTTTCCTCTTAAATTTGTGTCAGTGTTCTATGAGAAATGGTGTGTGAGTCTGGTACTTGATTAATTTATTTATCAATACCTCCAAAAAAGGGATTACTTATTTCTGCGAATGAAGTCTCTCCATGTTAAATCATCTTAATTCTGGTGGGTGCTGTAAAAGAGGAAGGGCAATCTGAATATTTTTTTTCTATTATATAGCCTGAAGGGCCAGAGGGCTGCTCTGAACTTTATCAGAAACTGAAAAGAAGGTTAATCAATGCTTTAAAAATTAAGAAAAAAGCAGGCCTCAATG